ACTTATAAATTATCTTTATTAATTAAGTTATAGATAGCGTTTTTTATTTTATATTAAGATAATAAATGAAATTACTATTTTAATTTATATATAAATTTAATTAAATATATTAGTTATTTATTTATATATTACTTTTTTTTTATAATTATAATATATCTTTTAATTAAATTATAACTTTAAATTATTAAATAAATATTAAAGATTAATTTAATTATAATAATTTAAATATATTAGTTAGTTATAAAAAGGTTATAATTTTTTATTATTTATATTTTATTTTCTTTTTTTATATATATTTATATTTATATTTTAACTTATAGTTTTTTTTTATAATATATTTATATTTTATTTTTTAGTTTATTTATAATAAAATATATAAGATTTAAGTAAATAATATCTTTAAATATAAGAATTATATATTTATAATACTTAAAGACTAATTTTTATCTTTTATTATTATATTTAAGATATCTTATTTTTAATATTTATATTTTTTCTTTTTTACTAATACGTATTCTTTACTATTTAGGCTTAAAGACTATAAGTATAAATAAATAATATTAAATCTTATACTAGATCTTAAGCTAGAGCTTAAATAAGTACTTAAGAAGTTAATTAAGTCTAATATTAATTAAATTTTAAGTAATTTTATATTTCTTAATAGTCTTTTTCTTTCTTTAATACCTAAATAAAGCCCTAAACTTAGTAATAATCTTATTATCAATATATAACCTTTTCTCTTTAATTCTCCTTTATATTTAATATCTTTAATTACTTTTAAGTATAGTCTCTTAAAATATATATATATAATAAGTAATATTTAAAAGACTTTATATTTATAATATAAATAAGTATTTTTAAATAATCTATTTTTAAGTAAAGTATATTATAAGTATTTTAATTTTAATAAGCTTAATAAACTTATTAAAATAAAAAGGTATTTTTATTATTATAAAATATAAAAATATATTAAATTACTATTTTTTATAAACTTTTTAGTATAAAATTTATATAATAAAAAATTTAAATATTAAAAAATATAAAATAAATATAAAAATAAGGAATTTATTTATAAAGA